TGTCCACTCTGTCCCCATCAGAGAGGACACTTAGACAGTGTCCACTCTGTCCCCATCAGAGAGGACACTGAGTCAGTGTCCACTCTGTCCCCGTTAGAGAGGACACAGACATTGTCCACTCTGTCCCCGTTAGAGAGGACACTGAGACAGTGTCCACTCTGTCCCCGTTAGAGAGGACACTGAGACAGTGTCCACTCTGTCCCCGAGAGGACACTGAGTCAGTGTCCACTCTGTCCCCATTAGAGAGGACACTGAGACAGTGTCCACTCTGTCCCCGTTAGAGAGGACACTGAGACAGTGTCCACTCTGTCCCCGTTAGAGAGGACACTGAGACAGTGTCCACTCTGTCCCCGTTAGAGAGGACACTGAGACAGTGTCCACTCTGTCCCCGTTAGACAGGACACTGAGACAGTGTCCACTCTGTCCCCGTTAGAGGACATTGAGACAGTGTCCACTCTGTCCCCGTTAGAGAGGACACTGAGACAGTGTCCACTCTGTCCCCGTTAGAGTGGACACTGAGACAGTGTCCACTCTGAGCTTCATTTCAGGATTAATTTATTGTTGTGACTATTTATTTTTACTGGGATGTACAATGAGACATTTGTCCTGTTTGTTTTATGATCAATAAACTGGTTCCCACCTGCTGACTTCCTGTCTGTGTCCCACCTGCAGGGTTCTCACCTCAACAACATTCATGGAATATGTCCAGAACATGTCAATAATTTACCTGAAACATGGCCACAACATGTCAATATTTTTTTGAAACGTGTCCACAACGTGTCAGTTATTTACCTGAAACATGTCAGTAATTTACCTGAAACATGTCAGTAATTTACCTGAAACATGGCCACAACGTGTCAGTAATTTACCTGAAACATGTCAGTAATTTACCTGAAACATGTCAACAACATGTCAGTAATTTACCTGAAACATGTCAGTAATTTACCTGAAACATGTCAGTAATTTACCTGAAACATGTCAGTAATTTACCTGAAACATGTCAGTAATTTACCTGAAACATGTC